CAATTTTGCAATTAAAATTGGTATATCCTTTAATATCAAAGGAAGAAATGGAAAAACTCTTTCCATAAGTACTGAAATGTTATTAAAGATATGTTTTAAAATGTTGATAGTGTCCACAGATGATGCCCCCGCTTGCATATCATATAGTTATAAAGGGACATAACTGAAGAACGGTAAAAGTGACCCTACCCAAATTTGAACTTGATCTGAGTTTTGGTGGTAATAAGCATTGTGTGTACGTCTCATAACATTTGGTTGAGGATAACTTAAGTAGAGAACAGAAACTAAAAATTCAGCAATTTTTCTATTTGTAAACACGCATAACTCTAAAACGGTTGTGTATAAGTTTTATAACATTTGGTTGAGACAAACTAAAGTTAGAGAACGGAAACGAAAAAATTCAGCAATTTTTATGTTTATAAAGGGACATAACTCAAGAATGGTAAAAGTGTCGCCACCAAATTTCGTACTTAATCTGTATTATGTAGTAATAAGCATTGTGTATAAGTTTCATAACATTTGGTTGCGGCAAACTAAAGTTAGAAAACGGAAACAAAATAAAAACTGCTTCGCTGAGCGCAGCTGGATACGCCCGCAGAGGTCCAACCCTGAACAGTTGGGGCAAAAAAAGCTTGATACAGATCTGAATTTGGATTGTAATTAAATATGTGACATATTATAGGTTTCTGGATAAATGTAGTCAAAGAACTTGAAATTGGTTATATGAATTGAATTTATATTCAATTAAAGATTTCTTGCTGTTGTGCAATACACTATGCTGTTGCGCAATACTTAGTAAATCTGTTGTCAGACTATAAACAAATAAAATTTATAAAATTCTAAAGGGAGCTTACATCAATAGATATAAACAATTCACCAAAGTTTCATGAGAATTGCTGAAAGCATTTTTGAGTAATGGTCTGATAACTGGAAAATCCCCCCTTTTTTAATGAATAAAACCCCATTTCTCGGAAATGTAAAATCTAAAATTTATAAAATTCTAAATGGAGCTTAAACATCAATAGATATCAACAATTCATCAAAGTTTCATGAGAACTGCTGAAAGCATTTTTGAGTTATTGTCTGAAAACTAGAAAATCCCCCTTTTTTTTATGAATAAAACCCTGTAACTTGGAAACGTAAAATCTAAAATTTATAAAAATCAAAAGGGAGCTCATGTCAATAGATATAAACAATTAACCAAAATTTCTTGCAAGTTGGTGAAAGCATTCTTGAGTTATTGTCCAAAAACTGGAAAATCCCCCTTTTTTTAATGAATAAAACCCCATAACTCAAAAACGTAAAATCTAAAATTTATAAAAAACGAAAGGGAGCTCACGTCAATAGATATAAACAATTCACCTAAGTTTTATGCAAATTGGTTAAAAAGTTTTTGAGTTAATGTCCGACATGTTGACAACGGACGGACAGACAGACGGACAGACGGACGGACGGACAGACGGAATACCATAATACGTCCCGTAAACGGGCGTATATAAATTGTACTTGATCTTAGTTTTGTGGTAATGAATATTGTATATAGGTTTCATAATGTTTGGTTGGGGCAAACTTAAGTTACAGAATGGAAAATAAAAATTTTGCAATCTTTCGATTTATATTGGGGCATAACACAATAATGGTTCAAGTGACACTACCCAAATTCAACTTGATCTGTGTTTTATCAGTGGAAGTCAAAATTAACCATTGCATTGTTTAATGCTTTGATTGTAAAATTAAAATTTTGCAATTTTTCCATTTATGAAGGGCATAACGGTTAAAGTGACCAAAATTCAAACTGGATCTGTGTTTTGTGGTAATAGGCATTGTGTATAAGTTTCATAACATTTGGTTGAGGCAAACTTAAGTTAGAGAACGGAAACTAAAAGTTTTGAAATTTTTCCATTTATAAAGGGGCATAACTCTAGAACGGTTAAAGTGACGCCACCAAAATTCAAACTCGATCTGTGTTTTGTGGTAATAAGCATTGTGTATAAGTGTCATAACATTTGGTTGAGGCAAACTTAAGTTAGAGAACGGAAACCAACTTTGGGACGTACGGACATATGGACAGACGTTCGGACGGATGTACGGACAGACGTACGTACAGACGGATAAGGGTAAAACTTAATGCCCCCTCCCGCGGGGCAGAAAAAAGGCTAACATATTTGATCACGACATATTCCAAGATGAACATGATAAGAAATCTTTTTTTTAAGAAGTCTTTTTTTTTTTATTATTAAAGGTGGATTATCAATATAGAAAGGTTTGCCAATTGAAACATTACAACCACCTTTAAAATTTGTGTTTGGTAATTTTATGAGTATTTGAAATATTGCCACCAGAAATATTTTACAAGATGTGACAATACTGATTTTAGCACTTTTGTCCACTAAAATTGTCTCCCTTACGCATTTCCTGTTTACACCAATGACATGTCTTTAGATTAAGTATCATTAAAATGCCATTCCTAATCCAAGCCATCCCCTGTTAACATAGATTTTAAAATAATGTTTAATTAATAGTTATTGAAAAATGGATGGCAAATCTCGAAATTCTTATTTATTTACAAGAATTTTTCGTTTAGTTATCCAATATTCGATTTTGAAAATAGCGATGCAAGGACAAGTAATCATAAAATACGGGCTTGTAATGGACAACAGGAATGCTTTTCTCAAAACAATATAGGTTCAACAGTTTAGTTGTAAACTCGAAAAAGTAATGAAATAATCGTAGATGTTTCAAAAAATGGATGAGACCACGTTGTCCATGTTGTCTACTCCTTTCGCAAAGTTTCTGCATCTTTTAATTCTTTTTAAAGTGAAAAAATCCAGAAAGAAATAAAGTCTTTTTGACAGAAAAACTTCTGCAAAAGCCGAACTGGTCCCTGCGATATTTGACCAGGAACATATATAGATATACTGTTCCCTGATTTGACCTATGTCTGCAGCTATAACTTTGTAAACAAAATACATACGCACCGCATGGATATAACCGTATTACTAATTTTTGATTCTTAAAAACTTCTTAAATCTTACTAAAGAGTATTGTCTTTCGTATTGATATCAAGATGATTCCGAGTATTATTTTTCTTAATGATTTTAAAGTTCAGCTGGCAAGAAAAGTTGACATTCAAGAACTATTTTGTCTAGCGATTGGTTATCATTGGTATGTAAAAAAAGTCCAAAACCATAACAAAACGGATCTATTTATATTCTGATTTTTTTTACAGATTGTAAAGACATGCACATAAAAGAGAAAGCTCGTATAAATATGAAATATATACCAAAGGAATAGCTCAAAATACCATTTAAGACCAATAAACATATGGACATGTTAAGAATGAAATTCTGTATAGTACATAAGTATGTAAAATACGGAACAGAGTTCGGAAAGCGGCTTGGAAGTCTGGTCAACAGTAAAAGAAAATTGACTGGGTCATTTTCCAAAAAAAGCTCTCTTTTTTTGTTCTTCATAACTTATTATTAATACCTTAGAGAAATGAAGGCTTCAAAACAAATGCAATGTGATTTTCATTATAATTAAATCTCCAAGGGGCATAACTGATTAAAAATATTTGATCAGCACTTATTTTTTAGTGTCTAAGACATTACTGATATAAACTTATATAAGTTTCATAAAATTCTGGCAATAATTGTACACATGAGAGAGCTGACAATGCAATTTTCCTGATAATCAATATTTCCAAGAGGCATAACTCTTTTAAAAATAATTAATCTGCACTGATTTTTGAACTCATCGAAGACCTTGATGATATAAAGCTATAATATAAATTTCATGAAAATTTGGCAAGAAGCGCTCATAATTGCAATTTTTCATATAATTAATACTTCCAAGGGGCATAACTCTTTTAAAAATTATTGATTGGCACTGATTTTCGAACTCGTCAAAAACATTGCTAATATAAACCTATGATATAAGTTTCATTAAAATATGGCAAGAATTGTACAAATGAGAGCGCTAACGATGCAATATTCCATATAGTTAATGTTTGCAAGGGTCATAACTCTCTTAAAAATAATTGATCCTTGAAACTTGTCCAATTCATAAAAATCTGGCAAGAATTGTACATGTGAGAGGGCTAACAAGACCGGACAGACTGACACATATTTCTATGTCCCCCACAACGCGTTGCACAGGGGATAAAAAAGGAGGAATTTTTTGGAATGTCAAGCTTCCTGTCAAAGGTCAGTGGTTCTCTCTGGGCACTCTGGCTTCCTCCACCAAGAAAAACTTACCACATCAAATTGTCAATAGTGCTAAAAGTGGTGTAAAAACACCTTTCAATCAACAATAAGTTCAAGACCTATATGAGTTACCTTTAAAAAGAAAACAATATGGTATATATATATATATAAAACTCATTGTTGAAGCCCTGTTGAACTACGATGACCTGAAGTTGTTTACATCCTCATCTTTTGGTCTTTAATGGATACTTGTCTCACTATCATATCACATCAACTTGATAAAGGTAGTTTTACTGGACAAAATGAAATACCCTTCATACACCAAACATAAATCACAAGTGTGTTTCTATACTTTGTTTTGGTTTTATCATTTTGTTTTGTCCTTTTTTAATTGTTTTTGTTGTTTTTGAAGGGTTGTGGGAGTTTGCAATGACATCCAATCTTTTGAAGACTGCACATTGTAAATGTTTCAACTACTCAAGCAATGTTCATTTATGTGAATACACTCATTAAGAAATGATTATTCAAACAAGAATCTGTGTATATAAGATGCATTGCTCACACTTTATATCCATGTTCAGTTAACAATGAAATCAGATCAGGGTTAAAACCATACCTTGGCATATAAAATTCACATTATAATGTACAAGTGTTTTAAGTTTCAAATTGATGTAAACACAACTTCATTATAATTTACCCTAACCAAGAACTTTATCCTGATATGGGATGTACAGACCCATAGACAGGAAACAATAATGTCCCCAACTATCAGGCATAAAAATAAGAAAAACAAAGTGACTTTACTTGGGCAATTTATTTGACCATCTAGGTCATTCATGTACACAATCATCTAAATTCTCTGTACAAAATAGCAAAAGGCCAAACATACAATTTGATATCTGAAAGGGTGTAAGACAAGGTGATCCTCTGTAGAACACAAATTATATAACACTATGTAATTGCACTAGAGTGTCACTATAACCTTAAACAACAACCTTAATTCAGTTATAAAAATCTAGATTCTAGATTTTGTTCATTATAATACTAAAGATAGACATTAATAACTGTTTCCACATTTCTTAAAATTAGCTGTAAATTTGAGAAATGATGATTCTATTTTAGTCCCTACTTCTAAAAATAATTTGCATGGTACAAATTTAAGTACTAGTAGCATTTCAACCAGTATAAAATAAATTGAGATAGTTTTGTAAATCTATGGAGAGAGATAAAATATAATTTAACATATTACAAGAAAAAAAAAACAGAAAAAATATGTACATTTAGAAACTATAAAATATTTATTATCTGAGGATAACCTTGTCCGAAAGAAATATACAAAATTACACAGCCTTGTTATAATGGAACAGACTATAATGGTTATACAATCTTGAAACAGGCTATAAAACATCTATAGGACCCAGATTATACCAAATGCACATTCATGTAACATTCTTGCCAATCATTCAATGCAAAAACACACAAATTCAATTTCCTACAAACAATGCACATTTAATTTAAACACTCACTGACAGGCTCATGTTTCAGTTTCCCATAATCTTATTACCTTGAAATTCATTGCAACAGCACCAATTATTCTAGAGATCTCAAAATTTCAATCTTTCTCATGTATGATTTCTTAAATGTTTAATGGTTAATTTTTCAATTATTTTTAATGGTATAAACTGAAATGATTATTTGGGTGATACATACGTTTTTCATGTAAAATAAGTAATTTTGTTGAGAAAGACTGAGTCACACATATAGTATGTGAGATATCATGCAATTTAGTCATGCTTTATAAAAGTACTAGGTTGTAATTGTAATTCTTCTACTTAGAAAAATCCATTAGACAGTAAAAGTATCAAAATATATTATCTATAGATTCAAAAAATTTACATAAAAGAGAGTTCTTGGTGTCTCATGTTTGTAATGTTATAAAATATTGATACATATAAATTCTGATTAAAAGACAGCAAAATACCATTTTTTTTTAAATGAAAAGACAACTCTGTTTTTTTTTGCACATGAATAAAACGAGATATGGGGTAATATGTCAATGAGACAGCAACCCAACAGCAAAAAAAAAAAAAAACATGTAGCGGGCAACATACAGTTTTAAACCAAAGACAGGTGTCTTTTACAATATATCAAGCTCTAAATCATTTAAGTCAAGAGTCTACAAAGGTTGTGAATAAATTAAACAATTACTTGCCTCTACATATAACAAACCATTAACAAGTTCATTATTGCTGATTATGAGAAACTGAAATTTGTCTTGCACAACTTAAAATCTGATATTTATATGATATTTATATGATATTTGAAAGAACATAAATAGTTATCAAATTAAATATTTTGTATTTGGCACCTTCTAAGTGGTTTAACATGAAAACTTTTGTATGTTAGTAATTGTGAGTAATTATTTCCAAGGTTAATGTCTCTTATTGAATTTGGAATATTGAAATTGATGTTCCAACTAATACATCTAGTTGAAATATTTATTAAAGAGTTCAAGTTACAGACACCTATATAAGTTTTTTCTTTTACATTATGAAATAATGCCATTTCTCAATTAAAAGACAGATGTAAATTTACATTTTGAAAGAGACATGATACCCTTGGATAGCATATTAAATATAAAGAATAGCAAAACATTTTAGCTTGTGTTAAAAATACATTGAGGAACTTTTGTTTGTTTAATATCAAGAGACAAATATTTCAAAGAATATTCAGAAAGAAAACAAATTAAAAAATAAATCAATGTAAGAAATTTAATAACAAAATTTCTGAAATATTCTTAATCAATTCAATAATTTCTACCCAGACAATAAATAAATCAATCAATCAATCAAAAGTGTACTAAAATTGGTTAAATATAAATGTAAGAATTTTACAAACTCCAATGTTGGAGGTGTTCCTTATAAAGGAAGTTTATGCATAGAAAGACCTGTAAGAAACAAAGAGTACTATAAAAAAAAGGTAAATTCTCATCTAAGTAAAGAAATCTGGAATTATTGTTACTGAGGATATATTAAAGAATGTTAAATCTAAAATAAAATAAATTTTACTTCACATAATAATAGACTAATGGTATTCTAGTATTTCCAAATTGTTCAAGATTTCTGTAAACTAAAAATATCTTTAATATTTCTATCTAAAAAATGGATATAAATGATTATGAAATATATTGTTTATGAAATCATTCAAATAAATCAACTCCTTACAAACCACTCTTAGAGTAGAATACTTATACAAAAACTGATCAAAATCTACACTCTCCACTTTCAATTAGGCAAACCTTCTTTTTTGGCATATCAATAAATGTACAATGATGTTTATAACAATAGTTATTTGCCAATTACAAATTTGATTCTTTTATTACTTTTAAAGCAATTTGTTTCTCTTTGTCAGTTGTAGACTGTTCTAAACTGGACAAGAATGGGCTACTGTCCATGCAAAGCATGATGTTGAAAATGATATTTATAGGTTTAACCAAATTATAATAAAGAATAACTATTGATATCAAACGTTTTCAGCTCAACCAAAGATAAACTGTAATTAAAATATTTGAAAAACTTAAAAGTAACACACATAACTGACAGTTATCTTTGCTTTTTCCACCAACTCTTCGTTGTCAATGAAAGTGTTTGTCACTCCTAATTACAGCGTCAATAATTGAAAGACTGTAAACACTTAATATTCCCTTCCCTTTAATGCCATACTCCTTAAAGAAATACTAACATCTACATTCCTACATTTTCTAAATTCTCCAAATGTGATTTATAATTACGGTTTTTGTAACCACTGATGAGGTGATTTATATCAAGCTTCAATAATGCTGATGTAATATTCTTTTATAAGGATCTTACAGAGTGGGAAAATTTAATAAAAAAATCTATTTTAGTCTCATGTACATCTCCATTTTGCTTGTTTTTTCTATTTATTGTAGTAAAAAAAACAAGTTTATAATTTAAGATATGGGTTATATGTCAATAAGACAGCAATTACATAACAATATCAAACCAAAATAAACATCAGTTAGAGTACCCTTTATTGATCTGCCTTTGAGAAAGTTTGCATGGTTCAAATATACAGAGTGAATTTTTAGGCTGTTAACATTCATAACCTGATAAATATTACAACGACTGCTTAAAGCTTGATACAAAACAGAATTGCATTGCAAGTTGGTTATACAAAAGTCATGTTTATTAAATAATTCTTAAAAATGAAAGAGAACAAAAAAAAATTTACAACTTTAAAAAGTGACAACAGGCAGTAAAATGGTTTTGAAAAATATAATTGACAAATAAAACAACAATTTATAAATAAAGTAAAATATTGGTATAATGAAATCATCAAAATTTCAAACAATCAAAATGATAAGAATTGACCAATTAAAATAAAGCACCAATTTTTAAAAATTTGAATCAACCAATCACATGCTTGTAAAAGTACAGAACATCAATGACAACACAAGCTCACATGTATCAGATCTTTTTTGAAGGAAAAAAATGGTATGACCAATAAATTAAAAAAAATCCAAATTCGGAGACAAACAACATGCAAAACTGAAAGGAGATTTGAATATCAAAATAAAAGAGTGAAAAACTAATCTCAGAGTATAAAAAGGGAGAAAAGGAGCCATATACTGAAGAACTAAGTATTACACGTGAAGGTTAAAAACAGATACAGGACAAGAGATATAATAATTAGATGTTCTGTAGGTCACCACCATCACACACTCCAGTTACCCAGGAAGCTGTTCGATGAAGGGTCATGAGTCGATGACTGAATCGCCTACAGTGAAATGAAACAAACAGACTATAGTGACCTATTCAATAAAATTTACACTTTTATATAATTCATTATTAAAAATTTATTTAGGTAAGTCATAAATTGCTTGGACAATATTAAGTACCTTAATCACAGATTTGTTATCCATCCTCCCAATGTGTTTCATAGATTTGGAGGAGAATTGAGATGTTATAGAAGCTGCTGCAAGTAAATATTTCATATTTCAGAATGAAATAAGAACTGGATATGAAGGAATTTCTAGAATGTATCTCAGCCCTTATAACTCTAAGATATTATAGGAAAACTTGTCTTTTTTTCATAAAGTGTGAATACCAATGGTTTTACCATGAGGCAAGTCACTATAGCTAGACGTCTAGATCTATGTACTAAGGCCCAAAACTTTAATTTTGAATTTTGTTAAAAAAGATTTCAAATCATTTTAAAGTATTAATAAAATGGTTTTTGATTTTTTCATTTAGAAAAGTATCACAAACAAATCAAACCAAGCAAGAGACAATTTTCATGAGACTTTTTTTACAAAATATAAGATTAAAAAACCTGAGAAAAAGATGCCCAATATTGCAGAAAATAATGTATTTCCCCTAAAAAATAATCAACAGCTTTGCAACTTGAATAAAATTTTGATTACTTTTGATACTAATAAGTATAAAAGTCCACTTTCAGAATAACGCTTAAATAGAAATTTGAAATAGATGAAGGCACTCTATTAAAAGCTTGGGGTATCTAAAAGACAATATTCAGAAAAAAATATAAACATACAATACACACAGAATATCTGCTATTTTTAATTCATACTTCTTTCCTGTACAAGTAAAACTTCTAAGAATTTCGTCAAAAATATTATTTATACAAAATTTGATCTTTCGTTGATCCTTTCTACAATTAAAAAAACATGCAAATACATTGATAAGTATGTCACATGACAAACATGTGACTTGAGATATATGGTCACATCACATCCACAAAGAACTCACATGGATTTCCCATAGCCATTCTGAAAGACTGTCTACTGCCACTAACATCTGGTGGTATGTTTACAAGATTGCTATTTGGTGGGCCACCAGGCTGTCTGGCACTCACTATACTTGCTGTTTCAGAATCGCTTCCACTGTTGCCGGGAGACTTTTTCTGTGACTTTTCTTTGCGACTGCTACTTCCAGAGGCACTGCTTCCTATTTAAGAATATATTGAGAAGACACATATATAAATGATTAAAATTTTGTTTCTTTGGAGAAACTCGAATGAACACCTCAACAAGCTAACCTCTTTCTTCAATGTGCCCCTAACAAATGCATGAGTGTTTTAACAGTTTGTCCAGAAGTTTTTTCTTAGATTAATTGTAAGAAATATCAGCTATGCCATCAGAAATTTAAATAGTTATTGTAAGTAAAGAGCCTATTCCAGAAATGTATGTATTGAGAGACATCAGAGCTTGCTTATAAAATTTGATAATTGGTGACTTTTTTGAAATCTGTCAGAACATGCTAAAGTGTATATGACTGTGTAAAATTCAATGATTGGTGGTGGTGGGGGGGATAAAAAGATCTTCTCTGAACATCCTTCTTTAATATCCCAACCAACAAACAGAAAATATAACCAAAACTAATACAATACCATCTCATACATTTATTTCTGGAATAGCTCTAATTTTATTTTCTATCATTACAATATATTTTCATAATATCTTCTGAATACTAAATCTATAGAAATCTATAGTAGGAACATGCATTCAGATAAAATGCAGTTATACTTATATATGACAATTAGTTAAATGCCACTAATTCATTGTAATGACTAGCACTACATGCTCAGATACAAACTACAACATAATATTATTTGTGCAAATTATAAGTTCTGACGAGATTTTCTGTTTACAGAAAAGCCTTTTCATTACTACCTTTTTTTTTTTACATCAGAAATCATTTCAAGAAATAGCTTTTCTAGGGTAATTTATGAATGTCTGGATTAGTAGACTTAAAAATCAAGATCGTAAAGAGTTACTCCCCTTCCTAAAATTTATAATTTGGTAAGCCACAATGAAAAGAAGTGCTGAGAAGCATACACTGTCAATCTGTCAATTTCTATGCAATATTTGATTTATAATTCCAGATTCTCCCACAATACCCTGTTGATCATACCCTGTTGTTAGTCACCAATGGATCTAAAATACTCATTTTTGGCAGTCATGACCCATTTTAAATAAAAATGACATGAAATTCTAAAGTTCAGTTAGAATAAAAATGAAAATTTCAAGATATGAACAGCACAAAATAAAAATGAAAAACACTTACTACGTGCAAAAGGATTTAAAAGAAAACCCATGTTTCATATTTCCATAAAAAAAATTACTTGTTTTTGTGTTATACACATTTTATAAGTTTGATCATAGATTTCATCCATTTTGAATAATATGACCAAAGTAGATATTTTAATGCTGATGACAATTTCAATCTCTGCAGGCAAACTGCACATTGCATACATGCAATTGATTATAATTGTTTGTATAGTTATAATAATGTTAGGAAGGTGATTTTTTAATGAGCTACATAGAAATTATATGATAAATAATCCACTTCCCTGTTGTTGCACCAGGACTATAAATATAATACAAAATATATATTGAACCTGCAATAGTGATGTATTCATTTGTTTGTTTTACAAAGCTTGGAAAAAATACATGAAAAGCCATAAGTCAGCAAAAAAAGCAATTGATAAAATTTTAATCTCCGATTACAAGCCTGCAAAACATGCTGATCAGGTAACAGCAAAAGCTTCAATTATCTAGCAGAAGCTATGTGAAGAAAGCTCTAGTTCTATGGCTGAAGACCAGACTGCAGCTAGATAGAAAAAGCTCTGGTTCTTTAGCTCTGGATTGGTGTAAAACCATGCCAAGGATTCTATAAGCCACCGACACACCATGCTGATGTGGAACGCCTAACCTGGCTTCCCAGCTTCAGCCTCATTTTCCTCCGTAGTCACCAGTTCCTTAGCAACAGTGCCTTCATTGTCATTATTGTTGCTAGGAACATCATCCTTCTGTTTGGCATCTTTGTTATCTTTTGATTGGTCCTTGGAACTTGAGTGTGTCTGTGGCGATTTTTTGCCACGGACATTGTTGTTGGGTTCCTTGTCAATACAGAAGGTTTTGGCTAGAAGTTTCTGCGCAGCTGGTTGGAATTTCATTGGCAAACAACAGGCATTATGAACTGATAAAATTAGATAAAATTGTCATTTACCCTTCTCACACACAAGGTGGAAAAAAGAATTTTATGTAAATAATTTTACAAATCTGAAAAATAGCATGCAATGTACATAAGTTATGAAGAGTAAAAAGAAACGTAAGGACCATTTTATATTATATTACTTAGGATATACAGTAGAAATATTTTGGTCAATCAATTATTTTAATGATTGCCTGATTGATTATGAATAGTTTAACGTATATTTTAACGATCAGAGTAAGTTATAAAATAAGATGAATTGTAGGAATAAATGGTGCATAAAATTTAGTTTTCAGGACACTAAGGTCCAGACTGCCTCAGAAAGCCACACATCTGAGGATAGCATATTCATGCAATGATCTTTGATGACAATATATAAGCAAAGCTTGGTTTTATATACTGAAACAATATACTTATTAAGATTATAGAAGAAACTTTCCCTCCCCCAAAACACATATAGAGTTTTTCTTTTTATCAAATGTATGTGAAATCCAATCTACAGTTAAACATTTGCAAGGGCAATGTGACTGTATTAAAGGATTCAATTTACAAAATAGTAAGAATTAAATGAATGATGACAGAACATAAAATAATTGCATGACTATTTTTTTTCATTAAAAACAATCCTTTAAATAACAAGAAAAAAATAAATGTGGAATGTGTCCATGAGACACAGATGATCCCCCTGCTTGCATATAACGTTATAAAGGGACATAACTCAAGAACAATAAAAGTGAAGCTACCCAAATTCTTACTTGATCTAGTTTTGTGGTAATAAGCATTGTGTATAAGTTTCATAACATTTGGTTGAGGCAAACTTAAGTTAGAGAACAGAAACAAAAAATTCAGCAATTTTTCCATTGGAAAGGGGCATAACTTTTGAAAGGTAAAAGTGTCACCACCCAAATTCAATCTTAATCTGTGTTTTGTGGTAATAAGCATTGTGTATAAGTTTCATAACATTTGGTTTAGGCAAACTTAAGTTAGAGAACAGAAACCAATTTTGGAACGTACAGATGTACAGACAGACAAGGGTAAAACTTAATGCCTCCTCCACTACAGCGGGGGCATAAAAAGAATAATACACAAGCTTTTACTTTGAGCATTTAAGAAATAATAATTGGCAAAACACATGAAGCAAATACTAAATCTACATCAAGTTAGTTTAACAACGTTTGAATACATCACTATATTGGTTTATTTCACACACATGAAAAGATCTCAAAGCTGAAATGCAACAACATGAGCTTATTATTTCACAATGTGCACCTGGTAACATTAACAATTACCAATGTTTGCATTGCACAATCAATTTTCTTGCAATTGTTTAGATATTTAAACGAAAAGAGTTGAAAAAATTGTGGTTAAGAACATTGAAAAAAGCTGTTACGCCAAATAATTCTTGGGGGATTTTTTTAATAATATTTATTTTACAAATAAATACGAATTCTAGCTAAATTTGGCAAGTTATCAAGTTTTGCCATGTTTCTAAACAAGGGCTAATAAAGAATCAATCACAGCAGTTTTGGGAATCAACACATACTTTCTTTCTATATCACTTAATTAAAATTAATATTACATAAAATGTAGAAATGTGAAGGAAATAAAGAGCATGCAAAATAAATAAAATAGGTGGTGAAAGCTGGAGTTTTTTCTGCCATATCTGAAACTTCTCAATTTTCCTTATACCTATTAAAAAACTCAAAATTAATTCCAAGCAGTATGCAGCAATAATATTTGTAACAGCCAAGCTCGACTCTTTATATTTCTGTAATTCTGACATGGGAAATGTTCAAATGAGAAAACGTTCTTAAAACAATTAGGCATTTTGTATCAATTCCCCTATCATCTTAGATCTAAACAATTTCCTTCTTAATCTTCTCAACAATCCAATCATGATTTATATTTCTCATAATGTTTCTTTCACTTTAAATATATTTCGTTGTTGAGAGAAGCCAACTGAGATGCCTTTTGCAGTAAATAAAATTTTGCCTCTACATCATTTAAGAATTTGTCTCTCTTAAATAAATATGTTTCAGATATGGCAGAGTTTCAAAATAACTGAAAGGACTACAAACCAGAACTATGTAGTGAATTCCGAGAACATGCACGATCCTTTGGGTTTAAATGATTCCGAGAACTTGCCCGGTCCTTTGGGTCTAAATGATTCCGAGAACATGCCCTGTCCTTTGAGTCTAAATGATGTGTGGCGTTCTGATAAAGCTGCTTGTCTTTATTTTCCCAAAGCTTTTTCAAATGATTGTAAGTACTGACTATACATGTGCAGTCTTTTTGGTTAACTGTAAACAAAGGTCAAAATTTAGGACCATGAATGATTTGTAGCATGACCCTATGTCACTGAGGATTTAACCTTAACATTTTTTTCAATCATCAAAATAATTAAAAATTTATTTATAAAATCATTTATAAGTACTTTGAAGTTATATTTCTTAATTTTTTGTAAAATTTTTGTTGTTTTTCCATCTTTAATGAAAAATCTCATGTTGTAGTTTAATTATAAATAATGCAGACCTAAACTTTCATTTTATAATTATTTTTTTTTTTTAAAACGACAAATTAAAAATTAATACAATTGTTTACAAATGTAGTATTCTTCTTTGTTCAACACACACAGTGCTTTGAAGGTATTTTTGCATTTCACATGGATTTGGATTAAAAAAAAAAGACAGAAAAAAAATTCCAAAAAGACCACAAAGAAAAATGTATGCATACCAACAGGGAATAAATCCAAGCTTAAAGAAGCAAAGTAGGGGAGGTCATACTACACACATAAACAGAAATCATGCAACGGACATTCTTATAACAATCAAATTTAGTACAATATCAATCTATGAAATCTGGCAACTGCATGCTAGAACATAACACACCTGAATACTTCTTTGCCTACTTTTAAGAATGGTTGCCTCAAACCTTAATTTATCATGCTACATTTTTTTCAAACAGTTATATGGTAACTATTAAAATATCTTTGTGGTAATAGCTGCTATCGAATTTTGTTTGAAAGTCCTTTCCCCCTCCTAATAGGAGACAGTCAGTACTTACACACCAGAATAATAAATAATTAATGTTTTGTGTACTACTGGACTATGTTATGATACTACTTAGAATTAGATACTATTTAGAATGTGAAACACTCTTAGTGTAGTTACCATAGCATGAAATGTTAGCTATATTAAATCATTGTGACCTATATTTTGAATTAGTTTCCAATAAGCAAGTGTGTCTAGTTGTGATCATTACACTGCAAAATTGCAAATAACATTTCACATTGGTACTGAATGCATTTTTCACACTAAAGCGATTGTGAATAGAAAGCATCTGTGTTGTACTTTTATTTTATTCTTTTAAAAGATTAATGTGTAATTTTCTGACTCCTCTTCCCTTTTCTGCATGTAATACTAAGATCATACTGCTTTTTTTTAAGAAATTATAACAGTTTTCTGCTATTTGTTTTTTTTGTTGTTGATTTCCCACAATTACCCTACTTTATGGTTTTTATCAAGTTTGCAGCATTTTCTAGCTTAAAATAACAATATCATAGAACAAAGCAAGGAATATGAAATTTGACATTAAGCCTGATAACCATGCCCACATGCCACTAACCTGATGCACTGTGTACACTGCCACCACTATTATTGCCTCCTCCGTTACCAATACTCGACAGTCCAATCACACCACCAGCACCAACAGTAGAATTTTTATCCATACCATCAACAAAAGAGCCGATATAACTTTGTGAGTCTGTACTAGTATAACTGTACGGGGGTATATAACTAATGTTTTGTGGTATATAAGTATTGTTAGTATAAGGGTATTGATTGTTCCAAGCTGGCGGTGGTAACGGAGCTAATGTATCACGATCAGCTTCAGACACAGAATCAACATCTTCTAAACTAAGTGCAGATAAATCTGAAAAATATAAACATTGAGATTAATATTTTTCTACACAATATGTATGGTAAACATCTCAGTATCTACTGAGGACATGTTTTCAAAATAAATATCCTAAAATTAATCATACAATATTATGGTAAAGCATTGAGGGTTATACTGGATCAGATTAATAACTTAGTGTATATGTAAGATTAATGTAGCACTGTTACACAAACCAAATAGAGAATTTGTTTTCCTCTGGAATCAAACGGGGTCTTTAGGGACCAAGACACAGTATAAAAGGGTAGCTCTAACTCTATGAACTTCCTCATGTCATATAGTTTCAAAAACCTTACTTGTTATTTGTTTTTCATAATTGTTTTGTTATAAATTAGGCTGTTAGTTTTCTCAATTGAATTGTTTCATATTTTTCATGTCGGGGCCTTTCATAGCCGACTATACAGTATGGGTTTTTCTCATTGTTGAAGGCCATACGGTTGCCTATAACTGCTTACCTCCACTTCATTTCAACTTTGGTGGATAGTTGTCTCATTGGAAATCATACCACATCTCCTTATTTTTATATTGTGTAAAAGAATTAGTCTTTCTGATTGCACTGTCATAAGTTATCTCTCAATTTCAATGTTTTTGTGTCTACATTTATTGTGAAAGCCCTACTACTTTAAATAAACATGCTGTTAAGTAGATTTGTGCATTTTAAATATCTTGTTACTTCAATTCACATAAATGTTTACCTCAATATTAAGCAGTTATACTAGCATACTCTACAATGCTTATATATCGAAATATTTTAGTTAAATATAGAATTTGTAAAGTACAAGTCAGATGTTCTGATGTACCTCTGAACACAATTTTAATTGAATTATTATGAAAGCACTATATCTGAGCTCTGTTATGGATACTTAATAGGCAATTAATAATGCAGTCAGGGCAACCATTTAAACAGAAAAGGAGATTTTTAGTTTTAACTTATAAAATGTCGGTAAAGGGAAAAGAAACAAGGAAGACTGAAGTTGAAGTGAATTATTCAAAATGTAAATGAGTAAATCTGTGGCTTTTTAAAACATAATCAGGGTGGTATATAACTTCTTAAATTAACAATAGAACTGTCATATATTTGTATACATAGTACCCATAACAACTGAACAGATTTATACCTAAAAACTCATGTAATTTATAAAAATATTGTATAACAATTTTGATTAGTGATTGTCATGCATGAGTGAGTTATGATAGGAAAGGTCCTTTATATGAGTGAAGATACTGACCTGGATACAGTGGCCCATCTAAAATGGCAAAACAAGATGAAGGTCATAGTGAGTTCAAGGTCAAGTGAATAATGGAAAATATTTCATGCAAGTGTATGAAAACGAATATGATGATGAAATATGAACTAGACTGATAAAAGGAATAAGTAAAATATCAATCCCAAAATCATGCACAGCAAAAAATGATATCCAATATCAAATATTTATGATTTACAAATGATGATTAACTGTGGTCATTAAACATCACTGACATTTTCAGAAAACAGCTTAGCAATGCAAACAGAAGTTGGCATGCAAATAATCCTATGCCAGATTTATTTTTAATATTGCTTTGCAAAGCATTAAGATTGAAGATTTATAAAGGGAGATAAGTCAGAATGTAAAACTATGAACATGCTGTTCACAATATAATCCTTTTGTTATATTCCATTATTTTCAGAGATATAATGTTCTAAATTTATAAGTTATAGCCTTTTCTGTTTTGAGCCATTTTTAATCAAACAAAAAATATGTTTTTGCTGTGTGCTGTAAAGAACCCTTTTAACATCGACAATCCTCATTGCTGCAGAATCAATTAAAACTATTCATCAGTTTTCTTGCAATTGATCAATTTTATTCAGACTGTAGAAATCATAATTGCTCAAGTTATTCAGTTTTGCTTTTCTTTAGACTTTAAAGATTTTTGCCAGAGTAATTTTGATTTTAACAGCTTTCAGTTTTTGAAAGCTCTCATTACAATCTGAATAGAAATGATGAGTGAAAGAAAGATAAATAACAGATGAATAACTTCTGTTGAAACTCATCATTGTTCCTAAATTTTCTTTTTTCATCTTTGTCCTTCATTACAGAACTGCTATCACAATTCTAATAAAATATAACTACTTGAATTGCAAAGTTCACTATTAAAGAAACAGAACGATAATCCTGTATGTACAAACAATGACATTGTGAGCTACCCACAACACACACATCTACACACACACACTTAATTGTACATGTATACTTACTTCCATAAATATCACCAAATACATAGTAGCACTGTTCAGAAAATGTAATTTTGTTCACAGTATGTCGAATATATCCAGCTTTTAATAAATTACATGCATATTTTCTAGCATCCCTTCGATCAGTAAAGCCTTCTAGATGAGTAAATAACCAATCAACTAAATCAGATCCTGAAAAAAAACCCAAAGTTTGCTGTATAACTGTGGATTCATTTATTTTTCATTGGTAACAATTTCCCAGGACGGAAGAAAATTTGTTTTTTTGTGTATATTTGATTTAACAGTTTTGCCAAAGTCTGCATAAAAGCCTATCGAAAATTTGTACTTCGTTGAACATATAAATTGATGGTTCACTTTAACCCACGATAATTTGTATCCCACAAATAGTAATGAATCCACAGTAAACATTGAAAAATCTATTATAAACATGAAAACAATTTAAGCAATGTTTGTACGTTTTGTAAATATTTATATAACAGTATGAAATTTTCAGCAGAGCATTTTTCCATTGAAAACAAGTAGGTTGATCCTTCGATGAATATAATCTATTGTTTAATGTAGGCTGACCTTTAGATGTCTTTTTTTTTTAATTGTAGGGTTGCTTTCTTACTGACGTATAAGCATAGTCATCTTTCATTCAAATATAATTATAGCCAAAAAGATTTCATAAATTGTTGTAGTTCAGTATTATATTGGGTTCTCATTCTGTTTAGTTCTGTGCCTGCATTACAGTATGTGCAGTAAATAAACTTCTTATTTTTTCCCATCATTAGTTTCTTTGGTAATTGATATTCTGTACACAACTTGCTATTCATTTTTTACTGTGTTATTCTTACCTATAAAAGCATTAGGTATTGTTATTTTTAACCACATTCTGTCTCTAATTTCTAGACCAGAATCTGGTTGTGCCATTGCCTTGACAACGGTGGCCATATCTGTGTTTGTTGTTAAATTCAAATCATCAAAACCTGAAAAAGAAAGTGAAAGATATAAATATACTTCAATTCTTTAATATTTATTAGACATAATGCTCTTAAAGTTTTTAGGATAAAAATCTTATTTATGTTGTATGTTGATAAAAGTACTTCAGTGTGAAATTGACAGATTAATTTTGGAAACATTTCTTAACACTGTTTTAGTTACTGCTGGTTTTTTGTAGGGTTTGTGTGTCAAGCTTTTAGAATTGAGCTGTAACCTTTTTCTTAAAACCACAGAGTTGTCTCTCTTTCAGTTTTTGTCCACCTGTGTTAGTTATAAATATTTTTCATCTTTATACATAAATTGGGCTACAATGGATTGGAAAATTCTAATGACCAATTTATCAACATAATAATTTTGTTTTTATTCACTTTCATATTCATATCCATGATATCTATCAAAATATAATAATTTATATTTATATATCAAAACAAAGCAATTCAGTGTTGAAATAATTGTCACTCTATCTGTATTCATTATTCTGACTGTGGTCTACCAGTCTTTGCTCTTGTTTCTGACTGTTGCATGTGTTTCATTTAATTACACAAGCAATTAATGATGTTAAATAACTTACTGATAGAATCATTGGTTGGAAATTTTAAACATCTAGAAACTAATGACCAATGAAAAATTATTACGTTCAGTTTGATTGATTTTTGTTTGCTTATTAATTGTCCAGCCCCAACTATTACATGAGTGTTCACGATAAAACTTACGTTCAGAGTCAGGTAATGAACTAGTTAATGATGAACTCGTTGATGTCATATTACTGATTGAAGGACTTGGTCCGCCAATCCCATGCATGAAATTTTGTTGCATTGCTGTAGTGTGTGCTACCCATGCAGAAGGATCAATAGGTCGCACAGGTTCTTGTCGAGGGACTGTAAAATATCCTTTCGGACTAGGATCCCAACATTTGGCTACGACTAGTGTAATTGGACTGTAAAATGAATGAACATCAGTATTATGTCTTTTTTTTTCAAATTATAGATCTGAAATTTCTTCTTTTTTATGAATACAAAATAACAGATTCACAAAAATACAAGTTTATTTAAAAACACAATGTTTAAAATCTAAAATGGAAAAAAATCTAATCACTTGAAGTAATAAAACAAAAAGATGACGACTTTCACAGGAAAATAAGAGAATTAAAATCCACTTTTCTGACATCAACCATGTATGTTCTGGTTTAACCAGATATCAATAACTCTCAACCACCAGAAGATCCTTATATCAACCAATTAAATCAATTGGTTAAAAAGGATCCTTTACAGTTTAAGAAACTGTGCTCAACAAAATTTTAAAACTATTTCTTGAGGAACAATTTCATACCATTACTCTTGAGATATTTTTGGTCATATTTTGAAGAATAATAAAGTCTGTATCATGTTTTTTATGTGTTTAAAAAATATTTACTTTTCTTTAAAATTGCATCAGTTTTCTTATGGTAAAATAAATGGAGAATGTATCCCCATGGGCACAGATGATTCCCCCGCTTGCATACAACATTATAAAGGGACATAACTCAAGAACAATAAAAGTGACGCTACCCAAATTTGTACTTGATCTGAGTTTTAAGGTAATAAGTAATGTGTATAGGTTTCATAATGTTTGGTTGGGACAAACTTGTTACAGAACGGGAACTAAAAATTTTTCGATTTATAAAGGGGCATACCTTGATAATGTTTAAAGTGACGCTACCAAAATTTAACTTGATCAGTGTTTTGTGGTAATAAGCATTGTGTATTTATAAGTTTCATAACATTTGGTTGAGGCAAACTAAAGTAAGAGAACAGAAACTAAAAAATTTGCAATTTTTCCATTTATAAAGGGGCATAACTCTAGAACAGTTAGAGTGACACTATCAAAATTCAATCTTGATCTGTGGTAATAAGCATTGTGTATAAGTTTCATAACATTTGGTTGAGGCAAACTTTAGTTAGAGAATGGCAACCAATTTTGGGACGTACGGACGTATGTACGTACGTACAGACGGACAAGGGTAAAACTTAATGCCCCCTCAGCTACGGCAGGGGCATAACAATTACTCCATGACTAGAATGCCTTGTTCAGTGAGTCTGGAGTTTTGCTACCTACCCAGGTTTTTGTACAGCTTCTCTCAAAACTCGAACTGCATCATCATTACTTAAATTTTCAAAGCTAATGCCGTTCACTTCTAAAATCATATCACCAGGTTCTATACGACCATCCTGAGCAACAGCACCACTGAAAAACAAATGAAAGAACCATAGTGAGCGCGCTCACATACCCCACGTCCCCACATTGTCATTGGAGAAATAAAATAAGTGTAAGAAAAAAAAATTGAATCATAATTTCCTGTCAATATGCACATCTACATAGTATGTCCTTATTATCTACAGTTTCATGAAATTCTGTTGTGTGGTTTGAGAGGAGTTGCAATGACAAAAGGTTGCAGTAATATATTGGGCAAATTAGTTCAAAGGGGCGTAACTCCTGGAAAAAAAATTGAATTGTAATTTCCTGTCGATATGCACATCTACGTAGTATGTGCTTATTATCTGAAAAGGTTTCATGAAATTATGTTGTGTGGTTTGAGAGGAGTTGCGATGACAAAAGGTTGCAGTAGTATATTTGCCAATTAAGTCTAAAGGGGCGTAACTCCTGGAAAAAAATTGAATCATAATTTCCTGTCGATATGCACATCTACGTAGTATGTCCTTATTATCTGAAAAGGTTTCATGAAATTCTGTTGTGTGGTTTGAGAGGAGTTGCGATGACAAAAGGTTGCAGTAGTATATTGGGCAATTAAGTTCAAAGGGGCGTAACTCCTGGAAAAAAATTGAATCGTAATTTCCTGTTGATATGCACATCTACGCAGTATGTCCTTATTATCTGAAAAGGTTCCATGAAATTCTGTTGTGTGGTTTGAGAGGAGTTGCGATGACAAACTGTTGCAGTAGTACATTAAAGTAAATAAGTTCAAATGGGCTTAACTCCTAGAAAAAGAATTGAATCTTAATTTCCTGTCGATATGCACAACTTCATAGTATGTCCTTTTTATCTAAAAAGGTTTCGTGTAATTCTGTTGTGTGGTTTGAGAGGAGTTGCGATGACAAGAAACAGGACTGACTGACTGACGGACGGACAGACGGACGGACGGACGGGTCAAAAATATTATACCCTCCGCAACTCGTTGCATGGGGTATAATAAACTTGATACATGAAACAGTCATATATATCTGTCAGCAGTATAACTTCATGATAAATGTCGATATTTTGTAACAACATAAATAGTTAAATTGTATTTTCTGCATCTTGATCGTTGATATATCTTAATGGTATGAAACCATGCTTTAACATGGAACTAATACTCATGAGCGCCCAACTTATTTCTTAAAGTGAATTTTTTCATGACAAAATTAACATCTAATATGCAGCCAAATTTGATTTACGTTTATAAGAAAAAGATGCAAAGCCATTCAAAAATTTTGAAACAGCAGTTGATAAGTGAATGTGACACCCTTTGAATACATAAAACAGTTAGTTGTATGTTATCATATGGATAAACATTTGTATGTTATCATATGGATAATCATTTGAGACCATGATAGTTAAAGGTACAGTATAATTTCACTTGCTTGTTGTAAGAACACAAATTTTGATAAAACTACTACTTTTCAGAGATTGATGAACAAACAATAGGTTGCCTTGTTTGTTAGGAACTCTCTGAAAATAACATGTCTTTCTTGAAGTTTTGGAAATGAAAATGCACATAGCTGTTTACTTCTAAGTGTTTTTTTTTTTGTTATTTATATTCAAATACTGACATTTAGTACAAGTAGTTTACTAGGCCAAATTAAAAGTTCTGGAAATAGGTCTTCCATTTGAGAGAAAGAGTAAGCTGCAATTAAATAAGTCTTTTAATAATTATAATTGAAGTTCAGTGGTTGTCGTTGGTTCATGTCTGTCATATTTGTTTTTCGTTAATTGTTTTGTTATAAATTAGGCTGTTAGTTTTCTCAATTGAATTGTTTCATATTTGTTATGTTGGGGCCTTTTTTTAGCCGACTATACAGTATGGGTTTTTCTCATTGTTAAAGGCTGTACGGTTGCCTATAATTGCTTACATCCACTTTATTTGAACTTTGGTGGATAGTTATCTCATTGGCAATCATACCTCATCTCCTTATTTTCATATAGAACTCACATTACATAGAGTAGACCCCTAACAGTGGTACTTAATCAAATAATCAACCTCCCCATAGATCAAACATCTTCACTTGACAATACTCTTACCCTTTCATAATGGAACCAACATATATACCACCATCACCACCTTTGTTACTTTGGCCTACGATACTGATTCCTAAAAAGTTTACTGTGTCTGAAATATAAGGAGGATGAATATCATTTCTTCATTCACTGTAGTGTACATTTCACACTTTCAAACTGAAATCTTTAAGAATTTGTAAACTTCATATCTGTTTCCATGTTATAATCTGTGTGATTCAGAGTATGCTTTGAAAAAGAACTTTGTATAATTTGTATTCAAAGTTTGCTTTATCTATCATTTTTTGTGATTTGTTGTATTATGCAATTTCTTCTGCATTTGAATACTATGAGAAATGATGTCATCCTAAATAATGCTACAGTAGTCTAGTCATCACCAAAGATGCGGTCTTAATGCTGTCGTTAAGTGTTGTTTTTAACAATTTTTTGAGATGCCCCCCAAATAAATCCTGTTTTTTTAAAACAATTATTTTACAGTATTTTATGTAATGTTACCTCAAGTAAATATTTTCTATTAAATTGTTATATAGTTTGTATTATGTATGCAATGTCTTGACTTTTCCTGACAACAGTCTCACTTCTATGAAAGATGAAGAATGCAACTTAGATATTTTTCTTGATAAACGTTGTGTCAGTGAAAAAAAAGGCTATATCACAATGAGGTCTATATTGTAACTAATGAGAATGTTTACACCCTCTGCACCCCAAATCGTTTTATATTTCAATATAATTTTCTTAATCTAACATACAAATTGTTGATTTCCACCTTACTTACCCATATTTAATGTAACCACAATAACATTTAAGGACATTGTTGAATCTGTAATACTACTAAATGACGATGCCTGAAAAGGAAAGAAAGAAATCTTAACAAGAGTGCACACGCTGAAATGTCTCGCCTTCTTTACTAATCACTGATATTTTGTTGATAGTCCTAAATATAAAGCTTTACTACAACTATCACATACACTTAACATGATCCAAGAAAATGAGGTCAAGGTCATATAAACCAAACAAGAAAGACATGTACACCTTACAATCATTCAATACACTAAATATAGTTGATCATTGTTTATAGTTTATAAGATACAGACTTAACCAAGAAAACTAAACATTGACCAATGAACCATGAAAATGAGGTCAAGGTCAGATGAACAATGCCAGGCAGACATGTACAGCTTGCAATCCTTCCATACAACAAATATAGTTGACCTATTCCTTATAGTATTAGAAAAACAGACAAAAACACAAAAACTTAACACTGAGCAATGATCCGTGAAAATGAGGTCAAGGTCAAATAAAACCTGCAAGACTGACATGAACATCATAAAATATTTCCATACACCAAATATAGATGACGTATTGCATATAGTATTAGAAAAAAAGACCAAAACTCAAAAAATTAACTTTGACCACTGAACCATGAAAATGAGGTCAAGGTCAGAAGACACCTGCCAGCTAGACATGTACACCTTACAATTATTCCATACACCAAATATAGTAGACCTATTGCATACAGTATAAGAAAAACAGACCAAAACACAAACACTTAACTATAACCACTGAACCATGAAAATGAGGTCAAGGTCAGATGACACCTGCCAGTTGGACATGTACACCTTACAGTCCTTCCACACACCGAATATGCTAGACCTATTGCTTCTAGTATCTGAGATATGGACTTGACCACCAAAACTTTTTTTTCAAGTAGTCACTGAACCATGAAAATGAGGTCAAGGACAATGGACATGTGACAGATGGAAACTTCGTAACATAAGGCATCTATATACAAAGTATGAAGCATCCAGGTCTTCCACCTTCTAAAATATAAAGCTTTTAAGAAGTTAGCTAACGCCGCCACCGTCGCCGGATCACTATCCCTATGTCGAGAATTCTGCGATAAAAGTTGCAGGCTCGACAAAAACCATAATCAAAGTGTTATAACTTATAATACAACTATCTCTGCCATTTGATTTAATGAACCTACATATGTATGGGCCAGAAAAATCAGCATAGAAATATTGAGCAGATGATGCTTTAAAAAATATCGTAATTTCAGAAATTTTTGGTGCATTTAATGTTGAACAATGGAAAATAAAAGAAGAATGTGTCTGAGAATACAAATGCCCCCAATTCTAAGTTAAAAAGGGACATAACTCTAGAACAGTATATGACTAACTGCCCAAATTAGAACTCTATGTGATGTGGTTCTTAGCATTGTGTATGAGTTTCTTTAAATTTGGATGAGACAAACTTAAGTTAAGAGTGAAGAAACTGAAACATTTGCAATTTTCCAAGTTATATAGAGGCAAAACTCTAGAACGGTTAATGACATACTGCCAAAATTTAATCTCTGCTTATAGTAGTGTTGTGTTTCTTTGCATTGTGTATGAGTTTTATAAAATATGCACGAGGCACACTTGAGTAAGAGTGTGGAAATGATTTTTAATTTTCCAAGTTATAAAGGAGCATAACTCTAGAATGGTAAATGACTCACTGCCCAAATTCAAAATCTGTACGCAAGTTTTGGTTCTTAGCATTGTGTATGATTTTCATAAGAGTTGGATGAGGAAAACTTAAGTTAGAGTAAACAGATATGGGATGGACAGAAGGATGGACGGAAGGTTGAGGGAAACCCTTAATACCCCCTCCACTGTGGCGGGGGCATAAAAATGTGAGTTTACTTATTATGATTTTTGGACATGCTGAATCAGATAATGCTGCCAAGTTTATAAACACTTTTCATTTTTGTGAAACCTTTCCATTCACAATATTTGCAACAATAAAAAATTCGCAAAAACATTTGAATTCAAAATATCTTACACTAGAACAATTTTTATAAAATATGCCAAATTTTAGAAACATTAAGTAGACATGAAACCACAATTTGATTGTGTCTAAATTAAACTGTAAGTCATTCAATTCAATTGTGAGAATGTGTACCCTTAAAGTCTGCCCTTTATTAGTACCAATGCAATGCACAGATTTAGAAAGTGCACAGACTTACAACCTTGAATATGGCTGTTGTGAAAGCTTAAATTAAATTTGCAATTAATTTAATCTCATTACATCATATACTATTAAGCATTTGAAAATATTTTTTCTTTAATCTAAGAAAAAACAGCTTTTAAAATTTTTTGTTCAAAATAATTGTATTCCTATACTTCCCCTACCTTTATAAATCCTTACATCTCCATTAACAAATTGTACAAGTATCATAATTATACCTCACCTGCCTTACATTTCATTAATATTACTAAATTTCATCTAATTATAAGAAGCATATGTCCACTGCAATAAATTGTTCATCTAAAACTAGTTACATCATCGAATTATGATATTCTTATAATTAATAATGAATTTCTTTGTAAAATATATGATTACCAAAAACATTAGCTATCTATATTTAGTTCAGGTCACCTAACCCGGTTCATTTTAAGCCTCATCACTAATAACCGCCAACATTTTTCAATGTGAAGAATAGAAATCAAAATAGAGTACTAGAATCTTTTTTATTCTTATGACATCATCATCATCTTGGTTTAATAATTTTTTAGTTTATTGTCATCAACTATGCATGATGTCAGTGTCTCAACTCACTAGCAACATGTTGTCGCAGTCTTAGATCTTTGGATACATTGATAGTCGTCTGATCTGTAAATTAATTTTGAAAAGCAGACGATGCTAACCCTGATGACACAACATGGTTTTGCTATTTTTGGAGTAAATGAAATCCCCACAGTTTTTGTTTGTTACCTAGATTTGTTTCTTTTTAATTGATTTATGAGATTTTAACATTGGTAAACTAATGTCTCCATAAATTTATATTATATATCATATATGATGCTTTGATCAGCAGTATTCAACCTTTCCAGGATCAGCATAAGCACATAAACATAAAACTTGTTATATAACTTGCCATGGTGTAAACAAAAAGTAAATATCATGTCAATATCTTCAAGCATGACTAAAAACAGTCTGGAAAACTGATTGTATGAGTGAATTTTTCAAGTCCAAGGACCATAACTCTGCACAAAATTATTAGACTGAAACAAAAATTTGAACTTGATCTGTAACTTGTGATGATAAAACTATATACCAATTATCAATCAATATTGTATAAGCATGATGAAAATAAAATGCTCCGCTGGGCGCAGCTTGATACAACCGCAGAGGTCGAACCCTGAACAGTTGGGGCAAGTATGGACACAACATTCAAGCTTGATACAGCACTGAATTTGGATTGTAATTAAATATTTGACACAGCATAGGTTTCTGACACAGAATGAATGTGGTTTAAGAACTTAAAAAATTTTAATATACTTATTCAAACTACATCATTATTATTTGCTTTCACATATAAATCAAATTTTTTGAACCCCCTTATGATTCATCACCCCCAAAATCAATCCCAGCCTTCCCTTTGTGGTATGGTACCTTGCAGTACAATTTCAGAGAGATCCCCTTAACACAAGTTATTGTCTAGAAACTAGAAAAATGCTTGTTTTTTGGCCCCAAATTCCTAAACGTTTAGGGCAATTACCCCCAAACTCAAACCCAGCTTTCTCTTTGTGATATGGAACCTTGTAGTACAATTTCATAAAGATCCATACACTTACACACAAGTTATTGTCCTGAAACTAGAAAAATGCTTGATTTTTTGCCCCTTTTTTGCCCCTAATTCCTAAAATTTTGAGGCAATTACCCCCAAAATCAATCCCAGCCTTCCTTTTGTGGTATGGTACCTTGCAGTACAATTTCAGAGAGATCCATACACTTGAATACAAGTTATTGTCTGGAAACTAGAAAAATGCTTGTTTTTTGGCCCCTATTGGGCCCCAAATTCCTAAACGTTTAGGGCAATTACCTCCAAACTCAAACCCAGCTTTCCCTTTGTGATATGGAACCTTGTAGTACATTTTCATAAAGATCCATACACTTACACACAAGTTATTGTCATGAAACTAGAAAAATGCTTGTTTTTTGCCCCCTTTTTGGCCCCTAATTCCTAAAATTTGGAGGCAAATACCCCCAAAATCAATCCCAGCATTCCCTTTGTGATATGGAACCTTGTGGTACAATGTCAGAGAGATCCATGCACTAACACACAAGTAATGTCTGGAAGTTACAAAAAAGCTTATTTTTGGCCCCTAATTCCCTAACTGTTGGTACCATATACCCCAAAATCAATCCCAACCTTCCTTTTATGGTATTGAACCTTATGGTAAAATTTCATAGAGATCCATTCACTTAAACTAAAGTTAGAGTGTGAAAACCAATGTGTCTTCGGATGACGCTGACGACGGACGACATCGACATCGAAGACGACGACGCCAACGTCATACCAATATACGACCACAAAATTTTTTTTGCGGGCGTATAAAAACATTATATATGATTAATAGTTCTCTAAAATTAGATATGATGTAATACAGTGTATATCTATTTTCAAATTATAATCAAATATAATTAATAATTCCAAATATTTTTTCTTTCATTTGTCACAAACTAATATAGATTTGTAACTTATCTATAAAATGTCAACAACTTATCTACACAATGTAATGTATTGAAATATATACATAATAAAAATAGATTATTATCTAATTAAAGGATTTCTCTTCATAATTTTTTTTTTATATATATAGCATTCAGAAAATTAGTTTATACTAAATAACTAACAAACCTGCCAAAAAATTCTTCAAATAATTGAACAAAGAATGTCTTTTAAAAAATTAGTTATCTCCCTTTGTACAGAAATATGGTTTAACATAGTACTCTAACATTAGATATGGTCCAGAGTTATGGTCCATAACTCTGGATTAAATCTTCAGACTGGAACAAAATTTGAACTTGATCTATAACTTGTCATGATAAAACTATATACCAAATATCACATTAATATCTTCAAGAACGAAGAAAAAAAGTGTGGAAAGCTGATTTGCTGGACTGACAGAAGGACAGACAGACAGACGGACTGAGTGCAAACCTAAAGTCCCCTTCGACTTCGTCGGTAGGGGACTAATAAGAGTATCTTTGTTTAACAATTGTCAATTCTGTGTAATTACCCGACTAATAGGGGGCATCCGATGTTTCCGTCTTTGTCGTCGCTTTTGACGGCCATATTTTGAGGCAGTTCGGTTGGTTGTGTCTGTGACTGTAGAAAATCGACTGTCATCATCGGTATCAAAGAAACTAGTGGTGTCTATATCACTACTGAGCACGGTGGAAGAATCGTATGAATGACCATGATGTTTACTGTGACCGTTAACTCGAGGTGGACCTGAAACATACAAATAAGAAATGATCATCTTCTTCAATGTTCATCCTCCTTCTAACTTTCCAATGATTAACAAAGGGATCTGTTCAAGATAAATAAAAACATATGCATGATTACTTTACTGTCCCATCATCTAAATACCAATTTCATTTTATGTATGACAACAGCATCATAACAAAAGCAGCATAATGTAAAATTATATCAAATCCTTATGTTTTATTAAAGTCTGACTGGAATAACATAAACCACAAGAAGTTTAGTATCATAATAAACATAAATAATACTTTTATACAATTATATATTTGTATTTATTAATAGGTTTCCACAGATAAAAGACCCCTTAGTGTGTAAAATTAGATATTATATAATTTTTATCTCTTGATATAAAAATATGATATTGCTGAAGATGAAAATCTAACAATTATCTGTTGTAACAAGTCACATAAATAAACCCTCCAAGTGCATATGGCACTCTTTACTGAATGATTTAATCAATGATCAAAGATTTAATACAAAGAACTTCTTAAAACAGTTCAAAACCTTAAAAAAGAGGTTTATAATTTATAGTAAATAAACAGTTACAGTAATAAACTTACATCTGTTTACATAAGTAACATTGTATATACATTTACTGTTTCATTTATAAATGAATCTGCCAATACAGGGTGGAATTTTGCAAAGAAAGTGCTTTTCAATTAACTACAGTGATAGCAAATCTTTTATATAACAAGGTATGTTCACAAGTTGGTAGTGAAATCTCAAAAATCGTGATCTTAATTGTGTTAATAGGTACCATGATATCTCTCTCCAAGAAAATCAACAAAAAGCAACTAATCCTTTCAAAGAAGAAGAGTAAGAATATATAAAACAAAGACCATTTCTTGCTCATACTATAAAATGTACATGTTCAGTGAACAAACCAATAATTCAACTTATATTTTTAAGTTGTTCACATCATAATGAAAATTTGTACTAAGCTTCAAGTTGATGTGACCTAATGTTCATGGTAAACAACCTTGACCTAAAACTTAAACCTGATCTTGGAAAGACAGACAGCCACACAGACCGAAAAACATAATGCCCCTCTTATATTATAGGTGGGGCAAAGCAATTAATACCAATTGGTTCTTGATCTAAAGGAAGACCTTAATTGTGGAGATTTATTGGTATTTTGACTTTAATTTTATTGGTAAGATGGCACAGCTCACATTTTTCATTCAACCTCTGAGCATCATAATGTAAAACAAAACAGATTAATGGTTTCAGTTAAAGCTAAAAATAAACCTTTTCTTTTTCCTTAATGTTTATACACAATACCTTATTTATAGCCCTGTTATTCAGCATTAATTCAATAGACTCAAATACTTCTGTGATAACATTCAAGTTACTGACATTCGCATCAAGTTTAATTCTGATAATTAGCAAAGCCAAAAAAAATTGTAACCCAACTACCCCACTCCTGAATCACCACTTACTTCATTTCTTGTTGACACTGGTAATGGTCTACACAATAACTAAAACATTACCTTAAAAACCAAATCTGATAACTTATCAATTATTCTTTATTATTGGTTTTTAGGGAGGATTAGGACAATTTACACACGATTGTAAATTTATCAAACTGAACCTATTAACACTGTTTATATGTTTATGTACTTATAATATTTAAAATAAACATTCAAACCTATCAACTGCTCTATTAAGCATGTATCCTTATCATATTTCCCTGCCTGTGTTTCGGTGCATGAAAAAAGGTGTGCGTATTTACTTTAGATACTATCAAAACACATTCACTTGCTTAGACTTTTAGGTGCTTGCCCATGGGTGAAGATGAGTTAACTTTTTAAAGGCTTTGTTTTCATCTGTTTTTTTACAGATAAGTTAACACTGATTAGTCAGCTATGCAACCACATTTCCTGTTGGGCATTTTTTTTAGGACCATCAACAGATTGCAACTGTTCATGATAAACTCCTGTATAGATTAACCTCCTATAGCAATTTATACACTTATTAAGAATCCTTGATCCTCAACTGATTTTAGACACAACAAAACCAGCAATTATTTATCAAATCTACCATCTTTTTCAAATGTACACTAGAAAAGTTTTTGTACTAAAGCAAAGAAAAATTAAACTACATTTTTACTCTTCCAATGCTATTTCAATACAATGTATATCCAAGCATCTACAAAATTTCACCTTTATTGTATAAGATATTGGCTATGATTGCTGAGACAAATTGGTTAATGTAGATATGACTTGTGTTCATCATTACAACTAATTAGTAGATTATATCACAGATGTGAGGATAGCTTTGTCTGGGATCTCACTTCAATACACAAATTACTTAAGATGTATTGGCCCATTTCACCTGTATGGAAAGCAGATGAACTCATATCCTTGGATGAATACAGTCTTTATAAAACTACGCACCATGTTTAAAGATTTTGTGACCAATCACATTACTAGACCTTTTGGACCTAGCCAAAAGTTGGACCAGAAATCCTCAATGCTATATCATTTGTCTGATTCGAATTACTACAGGATATATTAAATATAAGCATGTATATTATCAGGTGAAAATTTCCAAAATGTTTAGCTTGAGTATATGGAAATGTGGCTTAACATGGACTTCTCTGGTAAAACTTATCCTGGACCAAGAGACAATATGATAAATCAAGGAAATATTAATTTTGTGAAAACTTCACATCAAACACTTTACAAAACCAAGTCAAAAGCACTGGATTTCTTTCGTATGAACCAGTCAACCCCATGACTCTTTCATTTGTCTGATTGAACTTAATACAGGAGTGAGGACATGTTATATATAAGCAGTTATATTTTCATGTGAAAGTTTCCAAAATGGTTAGCTGGAGTATATGGAAATGTGTCTATTTGTGGACTACTCTTGTCCAGCAGTAACAACAGTATAATTTAAAGACAAGAAATCAAATATATAATATTATCTAAAAGTCTACAGTAAACTGAAATGTTTTAACACATGTAACATAATACTTTTGTTATAAACAAAGGTATATTTCTAAAGAAGAATTTTGTTTTCCCATCACTTCCCTCAGCAACAACTAACAGTATATATTATTTCTCTCCTTGTGTATTTTAATACTAGAGATAAAAGAATGTAAGATCCCCTGAGTTAATGTAAGATATGATTATATAACACACAGCTATCATTACACTGTAATTTAGTGGAACAGTTTATAATGTGACTGCATGTGGTATGCATGTGTTATCTCTTAAAATTACAAGCAAATGTGAAAATTTTGGAAGCATCATTTTGAACAAATTAATTGAAAACTTGAATAGCCTCAAATCATTGAGAATAAAGTTTAAGAAATAATTATAATCTTTTTTGGGATTTTTTTCTCTATTGGGTTTGTCAGAATTTAAAAGATTGAAAGATGTAATACCAATATTAGAAGTTGTTAAGAGATTGTTTTTCATTTCCTATTGTGTAAAAATTTGTTTATCACAATGAACATTTTGCTGATTTCAGATTTTAACACCGATTTGAAATCGTCAATATTAATTATCTTCCAAAATTTGTTTTGACTTCTATTAATCCATTTTTTTGAATTATAGAACACCTATAAACCATTATAATGTACCACCTACGTAACCATTAAATCTGACTTAAATCATTCCATCTTGCTTTAACAGCTTATTAAAATTCATTTACACAATAAATAAATATACTGCAGTGCTTATCTATCATATTAAATACCTATCATGCAAACTTAACAATATTTTAATATTCAAATTTCTGTTGAATTCAGAATATAAATAATCTATTGATGTTTACATGTTTAATTTGACTAATTATTGGCTAGTATTAATTTGGACTTTAACTGTCATTACCTACACAAGGCATTAATCACCCAATGGAGTGGAACAGGTCAATGATTTAAGATTAGAGATAAGACTCCTTCAAGGTGGTCATTTTGTTACCAACTTATCTTTTGAAACAGTAGGAGCATGACTTAAAATATCTGATCAAACTGTTTTGGAGGAAATATTTGTCAGCAAGAATGTATCTGCAATTATTTTAATCTGTTATTTAACTTGGCTACTGAATATATTTTAATCTAGATCATATTTTGTAAAAGCAATGTACAACTGAGAAAGCAAAACTTTCAAGGTTCTACATGCAATCAATCTATTATTAATATTCCAACTTAAGAAATTTTAATATTACCCAACATTTGTATTCTTCAATGTATAAAAGTAGAGCAATGGACATCTACCTATGGACAGACCATCAAAGACCTTTCAACAAAAGGAGACAAAAACAAAGAAAAACACAACATTGGCCTTACATCAATAATATATACATTTGCTAGTAGAAACTCTAATTTTTAACAAACCTTGTCCAAACAAACAGTAAAACTTAAAGCAGCTTTGGTATAACTGCATGTTGAAATTAAAGCTATACTTACCAACTGGATCCCCTGGTCGTCGGAAATTGTGGTTATAACTGTGTTGGCGAGAACTCCGTGGACGATCTGTAAATACATAAAACAAAGCCTTAAAACACATGAAAATTTGATTCATGTAATCCCTAAACAGGGAATTTTAGTCTTATTTGGTGAAAAAATATTCATGCATCAAGAAAGTGGACTATAAAACACCTCTGATCTTTTTACTTTTCAAAATATTAAAACTGTTTAAGGTAAACACTGAACTGTATCATAAAGTTTACAGAGGTTCTGGTAATTCAAAATATCAATCACAATTTTTTTTTCATGTGGTTGTGAATAAAAGGTTCTAATCTTTATTTTAATCAAATGAAAAATAATTCATTTAGAATCTTAACCCCTCTTTAAAACTCTTGTAAGGTTGGTGTGAAAATTTCAAGTAGCTCAGAGAGAAAATTTATTAAAATCCCACTTATCAAAACAGTATTTTGTAGTTAAAATATTTCAATAAAACATCCTCAGTTTAATAAATATGTCAAATGACTGACACCTGGGTACAAATTTTATCAACACAATAACAGTGATTTTGTAATAAATGGAATCATCAATGGATTTTAATAATGAATAGAATTTAACACTCTTGGTCAATACAAGAACTGAAAGGTTTCAATTAATAGTACTACCAATAATGTCATCTTGGAGAAAAGGAATTTGACAGTTCTGTCTACAAGAATGACTCTGCTTGTCATTGGTCAACAAACTGACCAAATATTTGTACTGGTTAACTAATTCATTTAGTTGGTATAAAGCAGTAGATGGCAGATATAAATTATTTGTTAAGAAAATTTTAAAATATCAGAAAAATAGAGCACTAAACATTTCTTTCTCTCTCTATCATGTCTATCTCTAGCTACATTCATTTATTAAAATCATCTGCAGTCGATTACTTCTTCTCATAAAGAGATTTTTTAGGTAAATTTTAAATAGTAGAAGATATCTGGCAAAGATACTTTTATAGGTTATTTTCACTAGCATTTGTGCAGGCCAACCAGATATGTCATATACATGTGTACAACATGTTAAACTTATCGAAATCATTTTTTATATTGACACAGAAATCTACTATAAAAATACTTCTGAAATTTAATCATAACAAAGACTATCCTTTCTAAATCCATCACAAAAACATATTATTTGTACTCAGTATTGACTCCACACCTGAAATGATGTAGACATTGCACATGCAGAGTACTAATGATGATACCCATTACAGACATGTTCTCTCACACCTAAGCACACAATTCAAATTAACATTTACATGCAGTTATGTTTGTTTAGATAATTAACCCACCATTATGTTTCAAGTCTTTCTACAGATGTTTGAAAATTTTGAGAAAACCAAGTGACTTATGTAACGATTGGATACATCTGCAGTTACAGCGGAAACAATAATGATAGAATTGACAGATGTAAGAACGCATCAACAACGACAAGATTGTATATACACCTTACATACAGGTTGGGTGTTGATCTCACAAGTTGTGGCATCATATTTGACTATAACATATAGTTTTTATTATTAAGATGTTTTGTTCCTTACATTCTGTGATAGTAGATCTAGACATTCTAGAATTTCATTTTTTTCTGAAAAATGGCTTAATATCAAAAACTTATTCAGCAGCGCAGCAATTACATGGATGACATTAGATAAATTTTCAATTATTGAAGACATAGTAATAGCAATGTTTATCAAATTAAGAAAGAGGACAAAAGATAGAATTCATCTATACTGGTAGTTTAGAAATTCAAGACAAAATAATCAAGATTTATCACAAAATTAAATAAAATGTAGCTTTGAGAAATACCAATACAGTCACAGGACCAATAAGGTTGATATAATTAACAAATGTTGTAGATAACTGCAAGAACACAGAATCCTGAAACCCTAACTGGTTAACCTTTTGATGACTTTTCTGTGTGTAATTGGACCGTTAATTGATATTGGTCTTACCTGCCTGACTGGACTGTTTGTTAATTACTATTATAACAAACCAAGCCATAATTACATTTCCTCATCATAAAGATATTCAACATTGTCTATGGTCAACATTAATAATTCACATCACATTATATCCCTATAGGTACATTTACTGACCCATATATGACCTGATTGGAAAGAATGGTTTCTATTTTGTTAACCGTTCACAAATATGCAGGTGGATCTCTCCAATAGTCTCTTTCCAAAATGTAACTCACACTGGAATGTTTCAATTGGAAATAACACTTTCATAAAATACACAAATTATTAAAGATTTCCACTTTTTAAAGCTTTTCCTAGCAAGGCAGAACATTTCAATGGAGCAAGTTTTTCAACAAATGTCTAATCTACTGAAGAAAAATATTAAAAAAGTTTTCCTCTGTCTTTTTTTCAATATTTTCTTACAAGATCCTTTCAAAGTTAAATTTCAGTCAGAATTCCAAATTTTTATAACACACAATAGTCAATGCATTTCAAATCAACAGATGCACAACTGAAGTATAATTTTTATGTGTTAATTTGTTTATAAAAATACTTAAGAAGATCAATCCAAATCTAAATCAACAATCTCAAGTTGGTCAAAAAACTTTAAAAGGTACAATACACAAATCCAATTTAACACTACAATAAATTTAAAGCCTCTTAACACCATAATCCCCTTGTCTGAATCATTTGAACTGATACACCATTCAACAAATAATCCTTTACTTATATAACAATTATTTAATGTCTTTTTAGACTTAAATGTTCATGCACAGTTTTAAAATCTCTTTAAATACCTATGATTCTATTTTTTTTTTTTAAATCAACAGGTAATATCCAATCCAGAGGCAGCACCTGTTTATTTTTATTATTCACCTGGACGGAAAATTTAATTTATATCCTACAAATTGCTCAGTTTATGAAGAAAAAAAATCAACAACTTCGTGTAAAGTGTTTGTTATGAAATTAAAAGTCTTAATTTAATTGTCAACATAGTGTGATCGTTAAATCAATTTATTCTTGATCTTTGACTCAATTCTAAACCACTTATAAACATATACCTGTCATAAAGTGTCAGATCTTGAGGGATAAAAGGAAACAATTCTATCAATTACTGAACGTCAATGGCAGGATCAAATGTGATTAAGTACCAAAATAACCAAAACTCTTAGAAACTAACAGTAACACCAGTATTTGTTTAAGAATAGCATGCAAGGTCTGCATACTTCGGATTAAGAAATTATCAAATTTAAAAGACAACAATATAAATCTTCTGTCAAAATGCATACTGTGAAGGCTTAAAGCTTAAACATTCTTGACATAATCCTTGAATTTTCATGAGAATTTTCTTGTGAAAATAAGGCCGTATAATGCCATGTGTATCAAAATCTATAATAGACAATAGACCTACTGAATATATTAAATTTGCTGAATCATTATGTAATAAATTTTCTCATTAAATAAAAAAAAAAACTAATTTAAATATATCAACAACAAAATTTGTAAACTGAGACAAACTGAGACAACCTGCATGTAACTTTTTTTTAACATATCCAATTTATGGTACTTGTAATTTATTCAGATTTTTTGATTGATCAATGGTATATCAACACCAAACCTATCGTAGAAGCACAACTGGCCCATATATTCATGTTATACATATACTGTGTGCATGCATTGTTAATTTGGAAAAGAAAAAGGGATAGGAAATTTGGTACAGATAGAGATCCTGTTTTGCCAAAGGATAGTCAAAAATCTATTCAAATGCAAACAACCATCGTAACAAAGCTCATCTTTCCAAAAAATCTTCTTAAAATAATAAAACATTCAGCAGTCTGTAGCTCTTGTATCCTGCTATTTTTACTACTCTATTATAGAATCAGTTTTTTTTTTACATATATCACAATTTTGTTCTGCACAACACACATATTTAATCTGAACATACTCCCCTCCCCCTTCATATGATTTATTGTACATGTAACAAAACTTCATTCTGAGGCAACTATTGCCTCTCCCCACCCCACCCAAAAACAACTTATCTTACCTTGAATTGATCACAGAATCATGTAAATGTAAGACAATTAGGTCTTTTAACCCCCAACCCCTTCCCCCTTTTCCTCCTCTACTCACCTCGCCGTGAACTGATCACAGAGTCTGTTTCTGTACATGTATCACAACTTTGGTCTCTGCTAGCAACAGAAGAAGCATTCGCACTAAAAGAAATGAGACAATGTAGTTTTACTCGTGTATTTTATATATTTTAAAATCTCATTCACTTGTGTAGATAGACAAACAAAAATTGATATTTCTGGGGGTGAATCTAAGACTACATATCTTTTTTTTTTCCTGCCAAGAATTAACTGATTGATCGGTGATTGCTTTACACATTATCAAGTTCACTTTTTATAAGGATATATTTTTTTCATAGGTAGTTGACCTGATGTGATCATGGTCTTATTTGGAATTATTTATTTTCAGTTGATTTATATCAATTGTGTAGATAAAATCTATCTGCCATGAAAAAGCCAATAGTGCTGAAAGTGGCGTTAAATACCAAATATCAATCAATCAAGTAGAAAAGTTTCTTTATGTACTAAGTAATGTCTGGACATCCCATTTCGGTGAACTGTCATTTTATCTGACTAACAATTTCAATTTATACAACACTTATGTAAACGTTTCAATATCTTACATAATTGCCTCTTTACTGTATGAATGATTCTAATAAAATACATGACACTGTTAAATTATAGAACTTCATATGAAATATTCTGTATTCTCAGTCCTACTTTGATAGCCTTTTTATCAAACTAAGTTTTAAAATCTTTCATAACTTTATTTTATTTCAATGTGTAATATAAGAAAACATTTTGATCAATATTTCTTTTTAAACAACAATAGAATGTACAATTAAAGCCTTGATATCACCATTTCCACTCAGTTGCTATTAGATGCAAAAAACATCAGATTTTGGCAAATTATTCCACCTGAAGGAACTTATATATTTTGATGCACTGAACAACTTTATAGTACATCCTATTTATTTCAGGTGCATCATTCATTTTAATTGGGTAAAAAATAAAATGAATCCTTAAGTGAGAAATTGAATAGCATAATTGATACGTTTCATTCAGTAAGGAGTACATATAGTTCACTATTAGCATAATGTAAATACTTACCAATGCTCAAATTTCAAATTAAATTTGTGTTTTTTGGAGGGTCATTCAGGGTCGTTTTTTTTTAATATATAAAGTTGTATTTATTATCAATAAACCACATGTATATGGGAAAACAACATCATAATATTATTATGGCAACGCCATGCCTTTATCCCCTTGCAAAGTTTAAACAATGTTACCTAAAAAGTTTTGTGATATTGATATTTGTGGTCAAACATTTAATTAGAAACCTTGCAAAACCTGTTTAGCTATACCAAATATTTCCTGACATGTCAGCCAGATCGACTGATATTATAGCCTAAACACATAACATGGGGAAGCTCAGCAATGAGGAGTACGAGTTGTACCATACTGCCCAGGGCCTGAATTTAATAGAGTAGGGGGCATCTTGAGAGATTACATCCCATGAATTTTAGTAGGACAGAAAGATAAAACTCATCACAGGATCTGGTCAAGATACACAGGCACTATGAATATTTACTACTTACTGAAATGAGGGAGGTCTACTGTCACCAATACCACCTACTCTCTCTGTTGGTAAGTGTACATCTCCTGCTTGAGAATCTGTACACTGAGACTGGGAATCTGATGTGCTGCTTTCTGCTGGAACCAGCTGATAAAAAAAGAAATTTTTATAAACACTGCTTTTAATTATAAAACATGTAGTATTGTACCTTTACCAAATTAAAATTTTAAATTGAGTTGTATCTGGCAAATAAACATAAAATGGCTATATGTTGAAACAAGTTCTCTCCCTTTGTCTATAATTGTGGGTAGATTACATCTTTTTGTACAGACATTGATATATTTCGATAATTAAACTGTTTGGGAATGTATCAAAATATTGAAACTAATTACACAACCATTTATTTGCAAATGAGAACATCATACAATGTTTCAGTTAACTAAGATTATCCTAGATTTACTGTGTGTATAGGGAATATGAAACTTTTTTTACGTCAAAATTCAATCAACAATGATCACAGAACAAATTTAAATATATAGTGCATTGAAAATGTGGACATTTTCGTGTGGGGATTATTTTTGCTTATTTTTTAACAGCATAAAATATGTGAAAATGCCCCTCAACAAGAATATTTTGTATGTATCAGGAATATTGAGGGGAAGAGGGCACTTATCCTCGATAGATGCACAGATTTAACCCACACAATAAATCTTAATGCATAGCAATCTTGAAAATATCAACTAGCAAATATATGAATTACAGTACTTCTTTGATTCAAGATACTTTGCACAGCCCCAAATTGACCATGTCAATCTAAGTTCCTTCTTCCTATACCATTCCTGACAGATCACATATAACAAATTTTATCTAGTGACAAGCAGACATTATGAACGCAATCTATAATTGATTATTATCCCTTTCTATAACAATATTATATAACCGACTATAATATTTTATTTTGAGAGTTTGTCAATAAGTCTGGAATCATAGGCTCCATCTAATCAAATATTACTTTTGTATCCTCTTATAGACTAAATGTATTCTATCAATATTAACTTCTTTCTGCTTTGTAATGACAGTAGAATGATTGTCTAAGTAATACAGATGCTGACAGGTACTTTATGGTTACACTTTGATGTATTGTAAATTCAGAAATTATTGGGTGCATTTATTATTGCGATTTTAACTATACAGAACAAAATGTGAGAATAATTATTGAAATTTCAAAAGCTGCATACAAATATATGTGTTTTAGATTTCAGAATGCAAGTTCTTATTTTTGCAATACTCTGACACCCAGTGGCAATATTCACAATAATAAAAACCTTGCAATAATTTTGATTTTACAGTAGTTTACGGTCACACTTTGATGTATTCAGGAACTTTCAAACCAATGCTATACTCTGTTAGCATAAAATCTGTTTTAAGTTAGACTTGTAATCACTGTACATGAACTACTAAAATTAGATATGAGCAACAGTTTTACCAAAAACTATACTGTACTGTTGACTTCTGATATCAAAAATTTTTTGTATGCGACATCTTGGTCAAGTTGGAGCCATTTTTTGTACGGCTGTATAAACATTAATGGGATCTTAAAATAAGCATTCTGGACAGTTCATGCAGCTTTTTTATAAATACAAGAAAGTTTGAGGGGGGTTCGAATTCACATTTTAAGTGTTGACAGGCTAGTGATCCAGTGATTGAGCAACTTAGACCACTCCGCCACAGAGGCCCCACAAGATGTCTGAAGTCCTAAATCAGACTTGAACAAAATCTATATATATTGCACATATTACTGATATCTGACATATTAATATTATATCTTATGACATGCAAAGAATGTTATATAACTAGATTCATAGTACTTTGCAGTTTTCAAATTCAAGATGACAAAATGTGGCCATCTCCTTTCTGACCCACAAAGATAGAAAATGAAACACTACAGTATGGGCTACTATGCAAGACAGAATTAAGCTATGTCCTTATTCTCAATATATGTGCACGTGCCTGAAATGGATTTGAAGAAAAACTTTTATCACTTTTGAAATATCATCTATCAATATTAGCTTTTATGTTTGATCTTTCAAAGCAATTTTCACAAATTAATAG